ATACAGGAAAAAAATGACAGAATTAGGGTTTAATAACCCAAAAGGGACAGGAACAGGACAGGGCTAAAGATAGCCACAAGAAAAACAGAAAAGAAACATAAGCACATCGGAAATCAAAAGAAAAACAAAGTAACTGAAATCAAATCAAACTGAAATAAATACATATAAATATATATACATATATAGAATAACAAATCCTACCCACAGTGGTGAAAAAAAAAAAACTGCACAGTACGTCCTCAGGGGATGAGAGGCAACCGGCAGGGGAGTGTGACCGACGGACGCAAGATGGCCGCCGCACGAGGGAAGAGGGTAGCCGGGGGTGGGGGAGGGGGCGCACGCGTAACCACAGCGCGGCCCGACCTGCACACACACACGGGAGCCGCCGCCTAGGTAAGCGGAGGCTCGCCGGTGTATAAGCAGGCAAATCCCCCGAGACAGGGGAAATCCCCGCGGCTAGCCGCAGAACGCGACCGGGATGGGAGGGGGCGGGAGGCGGCACTGCCTAACGCGGCCGCGACTGCCCCCCCGGGAGAGCACACCACAGGGGTAGAAAACGCATAAAAAAACGAAATAAAACACAGGCTCCTAACAAGATAAATAATAACTAGGAGCAGACATATAAAATATAAAAAAACATGTAAACACAGTATAGGGAAAATACCAATAACAACCCAGAGCAGAAAAAGTTATGTACTTAACTGGTCTGAGAGCAGCAAAGAAAGAGGGGGATTGTGGGTGTTTCAAGTATTTTATAGTCACTTCCTCTGTTATGTGATTGGTTACTTGAACACTGTATTTTTTGTTCTTTCAGTTATTTATTTATCTCTATTTCTTTGCTGCTGAGAGTAATAAAGAAAGAGATATGCATAATAGGAGCCTCCGTGTCTTTAATAAAATTAGGTGTCTCAGGAAGTAAGAGTGTTCTTCTGGCACAATAGCATCAGAAATACCCCTTCTTTTTATAATGTCTTGCCCCTATCATTTCATAAGTCTATTTTTAGAGTGAGAGCCCTGTGTTGGGATTGAATTTGCTCCTTCCATTTATTTCTTGATGGAGCTTCAACACATCATCCTTTAATCAGTGATGGCCTGTGCCTTCACCACACCGAGGTATGCCTCAAAGTGTTGCACAAGAGTTTTTGAATGTTTCTTTCGATAGCAGGGGCACCCCCATATGTGATCTTCTGTGATGTTGGATATACTGCCACTGTGAAAAATTGCCTTCCCTTTTCAGTTTCCTCTTCAGGCACACTGATGAATAGTCTTCAGGTTCTGTCAGTCTTGGCCTTGCCTAGCCTTCTCTATTCCTACTACTTTTGCTTTATTAAAGTTATTGCATACAGCAGCGAACCATGGGGCAAGGGAGTTGCGAACTATGCCCTGGGCGAGGGGGAAGGACATCAAAGATGTTAGTCATCACTGTAATAGAAATAGCTTCTCCGTGTGGCTGAAAAGAGACAGTGGGCCCAGTTCTCCTGTGCATATATGTTATGGGCAAAGCGTAGAACACCCAGGTTTAATTGCTAGGAAAAATTTGGAAAGGATGCCCAGTTGTCGAGTATATATCTATCAAATTAATGGGATGGTTCAGAATCTACTAAAAACTGCATCTGTTCAGGTTTCATACTTCACCTGTCCCTCAATTGTGTGTTCTCAATTATGGAAGGTAGCGCATTACGAACCCAGGGTGAGCTTTGGGGAACAAGGTCTTCTGGTCTGATGAATCATGTTTTCTTTTAGATCAGGTGGATGACAGTGCTTGTGTGTGTCATTCACCTGGGATGGCAGCAGGATGCTCTATGTGAAGAAGACAGGCTGGAGGAGGCAGTGTTATGCTCTGGGCAATGTTCTGCTGGAAAACCATGGGAACTGGAATTCATGTGGATATTACTTTGACATGTACAACCTACCTACCAAGTACACTCTTTCATGGCAATTATATTCCCTAATGGCAGTGACCTCATTCAGCAAGATAAAGCAACCTGCCACACAGCAATACATTGTTCAGAAATGGTATGAGTAATATGTCAGAGAGTTCAAGGTGTTGCCCTGGCCTCCAAATTCTCCAGATTGCAATCCAATTGAGCATCGGAGGTCTTAAAGGATCTTAGTGCCTGTTACCACAGGACACATTCAGAGGTTTTGTGGAGTCCATGTATCGATGCATCAGAGCTGTTTTGGCAGCACAAGGGAACCTGCACGATATTAGGCAAGTGGTTTCCATGCTGTGACTGATCAGTGTAATATAACTATTTTAAACAAAACACTGCACACCTTTTACCTGCCATAAACATATCCCAGACCTTACGTAAAGAGTGTTTATTTGAGAAAGGAGTTAAATTTAGACTGAAAAATAAACTTAGGTAGCCTAGACTTCAGAGCAACTGATGAGTTTGTTAATGGTGGCCTACTTGGACTAAATTGTGGGGTCTTCAGTAAAAAAAAATGTAATCTTTCATTTAAATTGTCATGTACCACAGAGCAACATAATCAGTTACAATTCCTCACATTTTATGGATGCAAAAAACAAATGATAGGCTAAGTGAGAGTCTTGCAGTAGAAATGTGGAAATTCAATATAATTGCAAATCAAAGAGCATTCACTGGAAATGTCATTTGACGTCACTTTACAACTCACACTCAATAAAATCAACACTACAAATGAAGAAGCTTCGGAATCCCCCCAGCTATATATGTGATACACAAAAATACAAATCAATAAAAAGCAATGGGTAAGTGTTTCAGAATAATTTGAACATTATTTCCTGATTTTATATTTATGGCATTGATCGTAAGTTGACTTCATGACGCTTCAGCATCAACGGTCTTCGAGATTTTGATGGAGTGTGTCTGATAAATATCAGTTCATTTTTATAAAAGATAGATAACTACACTTATGTCAGACTACCAATCGATAAACATAACCAGTGTTGGAGTCATGATAAAAAGTCAAGGTGTGCGTAATTCACAGAAATCAATGAAGGGTCTCTAGGGTAGTAATTCTCATGCAAGGTGTCATTGCACCTAGATGTGTTACAGCCCCTAGTCACATGTGTCATAAAACATTTATAGAGAAAAATACTTCTTAAGAAAAAAATGGGCAGAAACATAACGAGAGAGGTTGAGATGCTAATTATTGTGAAAAGGGCAGATATTCTTTTAAAATAACTTGTTGGTATGACTGATCATGACAGAATATGAATGGTAGATGCATTAAGCAATGATCTAATTATGTAAATATAGAAAAAAAAAAAAAAATCACTTGGAATTAAAAAAAAAAAAAGACTTACTGCCAC